GTATATTTAGGATATCAAAGTTAGAAGAATTGTAGAACTGTGTGGCAGGTTAAGAAGTTTGGTGAAGATGCAGGTGGTCCATTGCTTGTGCAAGTTATGTGATTTTAACACTTTCTACAGTAGAAAGGTGAATTTTGGGTATATACATCCAGAGGAGGAAAAAAGGTTATCCTAGAGTGGTGGTGTCATGCAGTGGTTAAGAGCCTCTGCTCTGGTGTCAGACGATCTGGATTTGATTCTCACCTCTACCACGTATGTGTAGTGTTGGGCAAGTGATTTACTTCTCTGTGACTCAGTTTCTCCAGCTATAAAAATTTCTCCAACTGTACAAAGTCATGTAAAGTTCACTAATGTACAAGAGTGTCTTGTACGTTATAACTGTATTAGTTATCGATGTGTAACAAATTACCCCACAACTGAGTGGCTTGAAACAACAAATATTTATTATCTCTCAGTTTCTGTGAGTGGGAATCAGTGCATATCGTAGCTGGGTGTCTGTGGCTCTAGGTCTTTTATGAGGTTGTAGTCAAGCTATTAGCCTGGGCAACACTCTCATCTGAAGGGTGGGATGGGGCACAGTTGGGATCTGCTTTGTACTCACACAGATGCTTAGCAGGCGTCCGTTACCTGCCACATGGGCCCCTGCACAGGGCTGCCTCACAGCCTGGCAGTCGGCTTCTCCCAGGGTGAGTAATCCGGAAGAAGATGCAAGTTCCCAAGATGGAAGCCACCGATTTCTTGTAACTCAGTCTTGGAAATGATATCCCATTGTCTTTGCTGCACCCTATTTGCTGGAAGCGAGTCGCGGAATCCAGTGTGCACTTGAGCAGAGAGGATATTACAAGGTGTGAATATCAAGAGGTGGATCACTGGGGACCATCTTGGAGGCTGCCAGTAACAGCAACTTGGGCTTTAATGTCTATCTTCTATGCACATGTGTCCATGAATTCCCAATGTCTATATTAGCTGTCTACTTGATATCTCACTAGGGTGTCTAACAGGTATCTCAAATTTAATGTGGAAAAATGGAGCTCCCTGACGACCACTTCTCCCACAGTCTTTTATTTCTTGGTGAATGGCAACTCCATTCTTGGAGATGAGCAGGTCAAAAACTTGGAGAGATCCTTGACTCTTTTCTTTCTTTTATGCAACTTGTCACTTGACCTTCAAAATACATCCAGAGTCTCCCCAGCTCTTACCACCTGCACCCCCAGTGTTGCCTCCTTTGTCCATGTACTGGGTCTCTCCTTAGGTTTTTGCATTAGCTTAACTGGGTTCTCTGTTTTCAATGTTGTTCCCCTACAGTCTGCTCTTTATACAACAGACCAAATGATCCCTTAAAACATAAGGCATGATACTACCCAAATGATCCCTTAAAACATAAGGCATGATACTACTCCATTAGAGATCCTCTAGAGTCCTCCTATTTTATATAAATTAAAAGTCAACATCTTTACAGTAGCCTGCAGGACCTTTCATGCTTAAAAAAATATTTTTCTGGCAATGCACATACCTGTAATCCTAGCACTTTGGGAGACTTGAGGCAAGAGGATCACTTAAGGCCAGGAGTTTGAGACCAACCTGGGCAACATAACAAGACTCTCATCTCTACAACAACAACAACAATAAAAATAGCTGGATGTGGTGGCATGTGCCTGCAGTCATAGCTACTTGGGAGGCTGAAGCAAGAGGATTGCTTGAGCCCATGACTTTTAGGTTGCAGTGAGCTACAAAGTGTGCCTGCACTCTAGCCCTGGCAACAGAGCAAGACCCTGTCTCAAAAAAAATTGTTTTTCTGTATTGTGTGACATAATATATACTAGGGCTGTCCAGAAAGTATCCAGCCATGGGATATGAAAATTACATGTTAACAATGGCTGCCCTCATATGTATAATAAAATTTTATATATATATATATCTGTGCAAACACATCTCTATAAATTTAGGTATGTATCTAGAATTTCTTTTCTTATGGTGTAAGGTTGGGATCTCATTCTTTCTAAATGAAGAGCCAGTTGTCCCAGCACCTTTTATTGACTACAATACCCATTCCCCACTGAGGTTATTTTCTACCATGAACCTGTTTGTCTCTTCCTATGCAATGTATCTAATTGTTGAATGTTGAATAAAGATGTATCTAGTAGATCAAATAGATTGTATACAATTGTGTTTGTAGAGATTTTATTTGACTTGCAGTATTCAAATACATGTAAAAACAACTTGTATTATGATTGAGAGTTAATTATGGAGAACATTTACTAAAGTCCCTTTACTGAATAGATTAGTAACTAATTCTACTTAAGAGGCTGTGTCTTAAGTTTAAAGGCCCAGTTAGCTGCAAAATTAAGACTAATAAATCTCATGTCTCCTAGACCACTGTTTCTAGCTTATATCTATATACTATACTTTGCCACTTCTTATAACTGTTCAGAAAATTATCACCAAAATGCCTGTCAAATTTGAAAACCCTTTAAGGATATCCTCTGTAGTGAAATCCTTGTTTTTATAGCCAATTTTCACATATGTCAGGATATCTATGAGCCCAAGGCCCTGGGCTTTCTTTTCTCCTTTCTAGAATTTTGGTCTTATCTCTGTTTATGATAGCTTCACCTGGCAAACAAGAATGGGTGGGCAGTGGAGATTAACTCAAGCCAATTTATTTGGCAGATTACTAGCAGTATTGGTGAAGAGTTTGCTGGAAGAGGGAAGCATATTGAAATTCTTGCTTAAAAAGAGATGTGTAGAATATTCAGTGCTTTTCTTTTGATAAAAGTTGTCTTATAACTGTTACAGTATGTGTAATTGAGGGTGGGCTATAAATCACAAAATGAATCACTTCCAACTCCTTCACGTCTACAGAGTTAAGTAAAGAATGGAAAATATTGTCATTTAGATAAGTCCTTATTCTTTTTTCCTTCTCTACAAATAGTATAAGCTTTACTCTTCTGGACACCTGGCCTTTGCAGCCAGTGAAGGGTGTTATGGTAACAATGGCATCATTCTGCCTCTCCCAGATAGATTTTGCTCCATGATAGGTGACAAGAATGTCATACCAAAATGAATTTTTTTCTTTAGGGCAGAAACAAAACAGGAAAAGAGAGTACTATGAGGAAGTATTATACTGCTAATGAACTTTTCAAACTAAAACCGCATTCCATGACATTGAATGATTGCATGTCATTAAGAGTCTGTGAGCGTAAGTGATTCAAGCCAGAATCTAGTTGGAGTACATAATAACTTTCTGTGTGACTTTCTGAGGTCCATCTACCCCCTCCCAGGTCAGGAGGATCATTTGCAGAAATTGGAACTAGACGGCAAGGACCTCTAAAATTCCTCAAGATATAAAGTTAGTAAGGAATAAGAGAAATATAGCAAGTTCTTTTTAGTAAAAAAAAAAGAAAAAAAGATTGATACCAGCCAATAACTCACAGTGGGCTTACTTAAATCCTCCTCCTCTCTTCAGATTCTGTTTTTACCAAGCCAGTAAGCTAAAGACAGTTTGTCATGCTTTGAACTTCCTGGCTTATGTTGATTTGTATCAATATGTTACTGTTACACATTTGAGTGGGAGCTGAGTTACATTTCATGAGAACTGCTCAGAAAACTAATAAAAATCCTTACAACTCCACTTTCTGTGGGTATTGATAGCATCAAGAAAATAAAAAAGACTTTGCCATTTTCAGGCAGTTGCTTTTCCAGCCAGACTGAAATTGAAAGGCATTAACTCAACTCAGCTTGTTTAAACATTAACCAGGAGATGCTTTCTCTTCCTCCTTGAAAATCTTATGTGTCCACATGAATTTAACCACAGATGTACACAATTCCCAAAAAGTCCTTTTTAAAAAACATTGACTGTTCCATAAAGTAATAGCTTCAGAAGGCTTTCAAGGAATTAGTTATTCACACAGCAACTTAGTGAGGCGTATAAGTATACCCTCTCTTTACAAGTGGGTCACCTGGTGATTGCCCCAGCAGCTTGGGAGATTTATAGAGTTTGGAGTTACAAGGTGATGCAGCCACCATACTCAGAGAACTGGGTGAAAATCTTCCAATGGGTTTTCAAAATAGATGAGGAAGAGCTTATTTAAAGACTAAAAAAAAGAATACAGACATCTCTTTTGAAGACTGTTTCCAGGCTCTCAAATGGCCATTGTCAAAAAACAAACAGTGGGGTGAAATTGACTAAGCATCAGAGGAAGCTCAAACAGCTCATGACAAGTGAGCCTTAAAAGCTCGCAAGGCAGAAAAGAACTTTTCAGAGTGACCTTGTCACATGGAGTCCTAATGTGTAGGCTTTCTCAGCTTCTCTGAGTGGGGGTACAGAGGCATGCATATTTTAACCATTCATTTCATATTCAGCGTGTAAAGTAACTACTGCTTTCAACTTGAGTGGAGAAAGTATTTATCAAGCTTTATCAAGAGTCAGACAGGGGAAACCCATCATTTAACTACTTACAGTGTGAAATGGAAAATTTCCTCTCTCTCTTGCACTTTACCTTTTCGTTCAATCCCAGTAGCCCTTTATTTCAAAAGTGTTAATATTAACTTAATCAATCAGAGTCTTTAATGGGCAGAATCAGATGAATTTTCATTTGAAACAAAACTTTCTCTACTTTCTGCCCTTGATAACTGCACATCACAACCTTTAGTCATTAAAACATAATGAATCTTTCCTTATTTACATCTTTTGTTCGGTAAACTTGAAATTTTGCAAGCATATTCCCACTGGTATATATCATGATTTTCAAGATTTACTGTATTATCCACCCTAGCATGGTCCTTTGTTTTTTTTCTTCTTTCTTCCCCATACCCCACTTCCAGTATTTTAGGGTACCATATGTAGATAAGAAGTATGATAGCTTCATTCTGTTAATTAACATGCTTATTTGAGGTTATGAAATATACATTTGAGAAAGGCAGGGATTTCCCCTTGCATATTCACTAACTGCTTGAAGTGGCATTTTCATTCTGACTTGGTATTTTGTTTTGTTTGACTGCAGCATACTGGAGCATAATGAAAGAGTCTATTTTGAGGCTTCAAAAGTAGTGCTGCTACAGACCATGAGCAAGAGAGAGAGAGAGTGGACTTCAGCCTGCACGGATGGTCTTGAAAAGCCAATGGTTTTTGGTAAGTCATCTGAAGGACTTGGCATTTATTACCTTTCAATTTCAACAGACATCATTTATTTGTTGTACCAGGACATCTTATTCAAGTGCATGGCTATTTCTCTACAACCCAAACAATAGGATGTTTGAGGAAATGTTCTAGTGACAGAGAGCCAATAGAATAATCAAATTTACTTAGTATGTTTGTTTCCAAAACTTGCAGAATGGTAGGATCTAAATAGAATGCCTTTGGGGTTAGAGAAAGACCAAAAACAAAAAAACAAAACCAAAACAAACCCAAACAACTAAACACCCAAACAACAAACAAGCTGTATCTCCCAGATATTCCATTTTGGCTGAAAGCATAAGGGATGAATCACACTAGAGGGAGTAGATTGAATTTGAGAGCAAGTTTGTTACCATGTAATAAGTACAGTCATACACTGCATAGCAATGCTTTGGTCAGTGACAGATCAGATATACAACAGTGGTCCTATAAGATTCTAATACCATATTTTTACTGTACCTTTTCTATGTTTAGATAAGTTTATGTGAGTATTTACCGTCATGTTCTAGTCGCCTGCAGTGTGCAGTGCAGTCACGTGCTATACAGGTTTGTAGCCTAGGAGCAACAGGTTATACCACATAGTCTAGGTCTGCAGTAGGCTATGCCATCTAGGGTTTAAGTACACTCTGTGATGTTCCTACAATGACGAAATCACCTAAGGATGCATTTCTTAGAATATATCCCCGTCATTAAGCAATAGGTGACTATATTGGGGTAGGCGAAGTGAGAGACATTGGCAGTTTCCAAGTCCCATTCAAATGTTTATTGAAATAAAAACATGGCCTCCTGAATGACAGTTTTGGTGTAGGTGTTGGAATTCAAACACTTTTAAACTATCAGTAAATGATAAAGTAATTCGAACTATACACCAACATAATGTGGACTTCCAAACATGTTTTATCAGCCTAGTTCATGATATTTCCTGGAAACAGAGTCCTCAGATGGAAGCCCAGTTCTACCCCCTACCCCATCTTGGTGACCTCAGAGAACTTATTCATTGTCTTGGAATGACTCACCTGTAAAAATGTGAGTACATGCCTAAATGATCTTCAAGGTCTCTTGCATGTTTAAAATTCAGTTCTCCCTAGTGAAGTTAATTAAATAGTTATACCGTTAAGTTCTTGCCCAGCAGAATTTCCTGTGTGCCTTTAGCAGGTCGTCATTTTCAGAGAGACTCACTGTGTCAACCGGTGTGAAGGAAAGGGACCAGGTTTCTTGGGGGGTGGGGTGAGGTCCCTACTTCCTACTGGCACCATCTTGAGAGTCAGCCCTTTGGTCAAGCAGGAATTTAAGTGTCTGTGGTTAGTAATTTATTCCTTTGCAACATTAAAGAAAATGTGGCCCAGTGTTGTATGAATATTATATTCAAATAAGCAAGATAGGCTTCTTTTGAATTATTATCCTTTTTCTTTAGGAGATCTTACTCTTTCCTTCTCTGTGCTTGCTGTCACTGTGTTACTGGTTATCTGCCAGCCTTTTAACCCCTTGGGTCCTCAAACTTTGTTTTACATTGAAAAGAATTTATTCTTTTTCTTTCTTACTAAAAATCTCCTTTCTGAAGCAGAGCTGTGAACGACGCTTTAAATGATGTTCAGATGTCACTCTTGTTAGCAGCTGGCTGTCTGCCTCAGAGTGGTGCATTATTTGGGTTTCATAACAGCATTTTTTTTCTCTTACAAATGTTAAATTATGAAGCGCAGGAAACCACATGAATGTGGCAGAAAGAAAACGCAAACACAGTGTTATCTGGAAATGCCGTTTTATGATTCTCCGGATGACAGTATCCTCCCTATACTCCACGTAGGAAGCCTCTTTACCTGTTTGTTGCTGGTCTTGTGTCCCATAATCTTCATCTTCATTTATGCTGTATGCTGGGGCCGCCTTGTCACGCTGAATCAGGAGGTTTGGTTAAGACAAACCTTCGGGGCTGTCTGTCTCCAAGTCCTGCCTGACCACGAAGCCTAGCTCTCATTCACGAAATCTTCCCTGGATCCTCAGGACTTCACTGGCAGGTCTCTCTGTATGAACTCCTGTAACATATCGGGCCTGCATCACACCAGATGTATCGCTATGCATTGCTGCGTGGGTGTTTCCCATCACTCACACTGCTTGCTCACTGCTTCAGGGTAGGAATCAGATCCCAGGCCTGTGTTTCTCAAGGTATGTGGGGGGGTGGGGGAGTGTCTCAGGACCTCCTGCATCCCCATCGCCTTGATGTGGTTCTTAAAGTTGCAGATTTGGCAACACCAGGCTTGACGAATCAAAATTTCTGGGGATATGTAATCCAGGACATTCACCCCAGGTAGCTCCTTTGCACACAACTCTCGGAGACCGATTGTGCATCCTTTTCTTTGCCTTCTCACCCAAGCCACAGGTCCAGGACTGAGCACATAGTAGGTGCCTGGAAAATATTTGCTTGTTGATGTAAGCAACATCAAACCATGAGGGGCGCGTTCCCTCTTCAATCGCCTGGCCTTTTCAGGATGTGAAGTCAGCATATTTCTCTGAACCTTAGAAAGCGAGTTTTGTCTGAATGCATAAATTGTTCCTCTAGGTCACAAGCTCTTTTGGAAACCTTCCTTCTGTGTCTTTGTATCGTCAATCACTGACTCTGTCTCTAGTAATGACAGCAGCCCCTGTCTAAGTCTGGTGCCCGGGGAACATGCGCTGTGGGGAGCTAGCCTAGAGCAATAGGATGGGAGAGAGATCTGAGGATGGGAACAGTGCTGTGCTAAACCAGCTTTGTCCTTGGCTTCCCAAACCACACCTGCTGCTCTTGGCAGTTAATTCTGAGTGGTATTTCTTTCAGCTGTTTAGACTCTCAGGTCGTCAGTTTTGGTGGCAGGAGAGTGGTCCCATCGCTGAAAGGAATCAAGTTAAGCTGCAGTGGCTGCACATCAAAGCACCCATGGTGGCACAGTGGCAGATTCAGTGTTTGAATCTGATGTTAACAGACTGCAGTGGTGACACTTGGCCCCCCTCCTTCCCTCCTCCTCTTGCTCCAGCAAGAGCACGCCTGGCCTGGAGGGATCCAGAAGAGATTCGTAGGGCATTGCTGCTTCTGGTGCAGCTCCTAAATGCCCTTGCTTGTGGTTCCAGCCCTGGTAGATGGATCTGACAGTTCAAGTCAGAAACCAAACTGAAGAACTCACAGAAGCTTAGCCAGCCTATAAAAGCAAAAGTAGGTCATCAGGACATTTATTAGCTGTTAACATAACCACTAACCAAATACATTAAAAAAAAAATTTTTTTTTTTGCAACTTTTTTTTTGACTGTTACTTAGTCACAGTTTTACTTGGACAGGTTGTACCAATCCTAAATTCAGTTTGTGTGAAGGGGCACCTTCAACCATAGTGTTGGAAAAACATCTTCCCCCAGGTCTGCATTCAGTTTTGACTAAAGGAGTTTTGGGAAGCTGAAAGGAATAACAGAGTGGATTCTTTTCATATTATTCTCAGTTAAGTGAAGGGAAATAAAAGCATGTGTTCCGAAAGCAATGTTAAGGGCAAATGGAGCTTTTAGTATGTGCTTCATGGAGACCTCAGTAGCATGTCCTCTGCATGGCTTCTTGCAACCTGGTGGGGCTGGGGTGGAGGTGGGGTGGGGTGAGGTGATGCAGGAGGCAAGTGCCAGGTTGTCAGCTACAGAAGAGAAAGATACAGTTGTTTGCATATGTGACTTTGAGCCTTTGTTTAAAAGACTGTCAGGTGGAGGAATAACCAAGGACAAAAATCACAGAAATTATAAAGTACAGGATTGTAGCCAAATACCAGATGCTGGCATTTCTGTTTTAGAAGTCTTTAGTGATACATGGAATATTTCCTTGCAAGTAGCCATCCATGGTAGGAAAAGAGAAAAAGTAATTCTGAAAGAGAATTTGTCAAGTTAGAAAGGAGCTATCCCTTGTAATTGTCTACCATGAGGCATCCCTGAGAACCGTAGGATTTCCATACAGCTACCTAAATCATAGGCCCTGCTTTGGGCAGGCATGTAAACAAGAAAAGAGCCAGTGCAGTGCCCCCGCTAGACCTTCATTAGAAAGCTCTTTAAATTCTTTCCAGCGTAGAGGCGTTTGGTTCCTTTCATGTGCCCAAGCCAGTGGGTACAGCAGCACCAAAGATGCCTTCTGTTAAATGTGTTATAACCCACTCTTCTTGCCGATGCTATCATGGGCTAATAATTGCACGAGTCCTTCAGAGAAGCTGTGTGGTTTGGTATAGCTGTGAGTAAAACCACACCCGTTCAGGAAATGCAATGAAATTTTCTTCTAACAGGCATCATCAAAGCAGATGTTGATTTACTTGGCAGGGCCCCTTCGTTGGTGACAATTTGAGAGCTTTGAAGGGAAGTATTTGCTGTGCATCAAAAGAAATTAGAATTAAACTGCCACATTTGCGCACTGTCGGAGCCAAAAGGGAAAGCGACCAACTCTAGTTTGTTACTGTGACTCTCCCCAAAGCATCTCCACCGTCCTGGTGTCATCGTCAACTCTGCACTCGTGACTTAACATGTCTGTGTCTTTCTCTTCAGGCTTTAAGCTCGGTTGCTTCCAGCTTCCTCCCAGATGGCTCCAGTTGGTTATATCAAATAGGTGCCTTCAACTTGAAGTCTAAACCTAAACTTGTTGTTATCCTGTCTCCCTTTCTATGGGCTCCTTGTTTAGAGAAACAGGATCACTGGCCTGCCATTGATTGATACTGGGCACCTCCTCTTCCTGTACTTCATCCGTTGACTGTATGCTGAAGTTTTGCCTCTTAGATATTTTGCCATCTACCCATTCTTCTCTATTCCCTGGCCCCTGCTCTGTGTCAGGCCTTCAGCATCACTTGCCTGGATCACTGCAGCAGTTTTCAAGAGAGTATTCTTGCCTCAAGTCTTTTTTTCTTTCTGTATTCCATTCATTCTACTATTTTGAGAGTTATCTTCCAGAAGAAAGGGTCTGATTGAATTACTCC